CTTTTCGGGGGGGGGGAGAATTTCTGTTTTGATCTCAAGACTGTCTTCTTTTATCAATAACTGTGAGCCCACAAATTCGACCTAGAGGTGCTGTTCCAAGACCACTACAAAGAAAAACGTGCTGTTCCAAGACCACACAAAGAAAAACACGCAACGATTGCCCAGACCATAAAGTACTCTCAGAGTGCTTCTGTAAAATCACGAAGCGCTCACATGGATTTGACGGCTTTCCTAATGTTGATGATTTTTCCACAGCCCGGTCCAGGACACACGAACGACAGCGATTTACAGTGGTCGTATGTGACTGGACTTCCATGCCAGTTCGTCTTCAACCGCAGCGGCATCTGATGCACGAGCAGCCGCCGAGCGACGATATGACGACGCGTCCATCCCTAGAAAATAATAATGATCATCACTCGAGAAATCTGAATTCATATTGGCAGTGCATTGTGAATTCGGCACAAAGAATTAAATAGTCTGAACTTACCCAATCCCTCCGCAAGCCGCACGGCAACTGTTTCTTCAATGGGAACACACAACCTTGTTACAACCGCATGGACCTGTTGGGCAAGATAGTAATGCAAATCTGCAACAATTACGACTAATTGGTTTCATATGCATATGTACTATAATAGTTCGAATTTAGTCTCATCTTACTGGGTGTCGATCGCCAACTTCCCTATGAAAGCTTACCTCTTTCGTCTCAGGATTCGACTCTGATTCCATTTGGTGATACGCTCTTTGCATGGCCGAGTTGTTGGCGCCATCCTTGAAATTACTGACAAAAATTCACGAAAAATCACGAAAAAAAATAAACAAAGCAAAATCACCGCTATAAATGCGTTAGAATATGAGATTAGGAAAACGGTGATACAATTCCATAACAATTTTTTCTTTCTTTGTTTCTTTGTTCACAGCTTTTACATACATGTTATTGAGTGAGTGTGGACGGGTATCTTAGCAGTAAATGTTCATCTGCAAGATAGATGAACACACTTGCTAATTCAAGGTTCATGGACATATACTGTGTGATCCTTTGGAAATTTGTTATTTTTCAACATTTGCAATTACTACAAATTTATCGTGTTATGATAGCCGGTAACATCCCTACTTGGTATTATGTACATTCATTACAGAGTACAATCATACTTTTATGTTTTCCTAATGGTTAACTATGTAACTAATATAATATTAATATTAACTATGTAACTGCTAACTATGTACATAAATTATGCTCATTCAACGCTTTTTCCTCCCTTCCTTACTGAAGAGCACGGAGGGAGGGTATTTTTTTTCCAGTTTGGCTTCCGTCTAAGGGCACGTGCGAAACGGAAGTCGAACTAATTCTTTGATTATTCCCCCTAAAAATTTCTAATTTCTATGTTTTACTCAAAC